CACACACACACACACACACACACACACACACACACATATATATATATATATATATGTTTGTAACTTTATACTTAGACTTAGATATATTTTGATTTAGCCCACCCCATTGAGAAATCCTGGATCTGCCATTGGCAGTTTGGTCTGGTTTGGAATTTCGGTTTGACCGGATTTTTGTGCACCCCTACCTAAGATAGATTACTTTCACACCTAAATAGATGGGTTAGGAGGGTAATTTAGACCAAAAGAGTATAAAAAAACATGATTCAGGCCTCCCACAATTGAACCTCGATCATACTTATATGTTCTGTAAAAGGAAAGAAGAATTAATTTTAGGCTACTAGGGTGGTAATTGTAATACCCCTAATTTTAAAAGGATAGTCCTGGTATTTAATTAATTGTTTTAATTAATATTTTTATTTGATTAATTGTTTATTTAATTGAATTCTTTGTTTATTGCATTTATTTGTTTATTTGCTTCTTTGCACTTGATTATTCATTAATTAAATTGATTGTTTTATTTCTTTATTTACTGTAAATTGTATTTAGTAAATTAATTGTGTTAATTGTTTAAATGGTTTATTTGTTTTTATTGTGATTAAATGAATTAATTGATTTTTTTTTGGGTAAATTAGTTTTATTGATTAATTAAAGCATAGTTAGGGTTTTGGATGTCTGGGAAATCACGTAATGGGTTTAGCCGACTTAGATATAAAATGTATTATTTTCTTTTCCCGTTTCTAAATTAAATTAGGATTAGGGTTTGTGATTTTTCTTAAGCCTATATATATATCATATTGTGTCTGCAAAGGTTTAGAACTTTTCCCGTAGCTGGTGGTAGAGAGAAACAGAGAGGACTTGAGAGGAACATAGAGTGAATTGAGAGATAAACAGAGGGGTGGTTTAAGGAGGACGGGACGGAGTGTTTCTGGGTTGAACCAAGGGCAACGGAGGAGTGGAACGACAGTGTAGAAGGTGGTCGGAAAACTCAGAGATTGGTGGTGTAGAGTTTCAAAACTGAAACTCAAGGCAAGTCTCTATTATGTCTCTTTCCTTTAAATCTGTGTTCTGTGCATGCCTAGCTAGACTCCAGGGGTTTAATTAATGCTAAAATGAAATAGTCATGCATATTGAATCAGATTAAAACAGAGAGTTTCATGATTTTATATGCTTCTTCATGATTTTCTTTATTTTTAGATTTTTATGCATGAACTATTGTTTAAGTTGAATCTTTGTCTACTAAAACACTTAAAATAATTTAGTATGGGCGTTGGAACTTAGGTTGAAGTTTAGAGGCCTTAACAATGAAGTTTTAGGGTTTACAGAGGCTGAACAGATGAAGAAGACGACTTTAGCACCAACTAAGCCGACTGAATTGGTAACTTAGCTTGCTGAATTGGTAACTTAGCCCGCTTAGTTGGATCGCGATCTGGATTTTTGGTTTAATTGCCCAGAAGTTGTGTTTTAATTGTTTTAAGCGTTGTTTGGGCTGTACAGGGTAGTTTTACTTCATATAAACTATGTTCAATGTTGTATATGATTGGTATAGACCTGTAAAATTATAAGGAAACATTAATTCATAATTGGACGAAGGAATAGGGCAAGATGAACCTAAGGGAGAAGCCGGTAGGTTGCGCACTATTTGGTTAATTAAATTACTTGCCAGAATTTAGAGCTTCTGTGATATAATTTAGCACTGTTTAATCATATCTAAACAGTGATATAAGTATAGTAAAATACTTGCAATTAACTCTGCCTAGTTTGGATTAAATTGGTATTTAGTTTGCTTTAACTGTATCAATTTATGGATGATTTGGAGAATTTAAATGCTATGAATTATTTTAGCTGTTTCGATTGTTGGAGCATGATTTTTAGGTTCTGTAATGAATGCCTAATGTCAAGATATATGTATTAAACTGTATTTATGCATATCCTGGATAATGGTTGATAAATAACAATTATTATTTTAACAATTATGTTATGTGGAGGATTGTATGCACCGGTATGGGACGGTAGCATATTAGGGACGGCTTAGTTCGAAACACTAGGACCTACCTATGCTGGGGACGGATTAGTTAAAAATACTAAGTCCTACCTATTTGGAAATAAGTTGGATTAACAATAAAAGTTAAATCCTATTTATATATATGTATATGCACCGGTATGGGACGGTGGCATATTAGGGACGGCTTAGTTCAAAACATTAAGACCTATCTATTCTAGGGACGGATTAGTTCAAACACTAAATCCTACCTATAGTGAAATAAGATGGATTAACTACAAAAGTTAAGTCCTACTTATATCTATGTGTCAGGTCAATAAACCTTTTGAATGACACACCTTGAACGGATTTTATATATTTATGTTATGGAGCCATGATATGAGCTTGAGTCTCAGGACCATGGTTAGGGTGCGTATATCGCCTAGGATGGATAACTGGACAGTAGTTGCTATTCCCTGGTAGGTCTAGGTACACATGACCACATTATGTACGATTTGCATGGTATCTCTACTCAGGCTGAGACAGACCTATTGGACTAGTAAACATCCTATAGTGTGTACTTATACATATATGGACTACTCTAGATATTGTTGAGTTATCTAGGATGTATCTGCGTATCAGGTTTCTGTCTGGATCGTAGTAGAATAGGACTTGCATATGGGTCTGACCCACTCTCTTATTTTTCAGGTGCTTGTCAGTTCCAGGTTAGAGCTTGGTGTTGCAGAGCAGATACAGACACTCATTCTTTCGATGACGTAGGATTCTTTTCCAAGTTTTAGAGCTGGATTTTATCTTTAATTGTTTATTTTAATTTTGGGACTTTTGTTAGGGGTCCACTTGATGGATTCCCGAGTTGTTAACTTTATGAAGTTATTTTGGAGTTTGGATTTGAATAATTATATTTTGAGGATTTTAAATTAGAATTTGTTTCAGCCATTTATTATTTATTTCTTATTATTTTAATTTGTATTGTGTTTATTTAAATATTAATTATTTGATATTCCCTCGGGTTTGGGCCTGGGCCTGATCAACCCGTGTCTCGGATCCGAGGGGTATCACAGTAATTAATCAAGTGAGCTGATTTGTACACCTTGATGTACGTTAAGGACTGTGATAATTAAGCAATCATATTTAGTATTAATGGAGCATTTTTAAGAGTTTTTATTTGATAGGAATACTGTAAAAATGGAGATTTGTATAAAAAGTGAATAGAGATACAGAAAGAGAGAAAGAGCGAGAGAGCTCAGACAGAGAATTTGAGGCACAGCACATATTTCACATATATTTCTTTAATCCTAAAACATAAAGGGGGTTATATACATGAGGACACCGAAATGACCCGGGCTTGGTATGACCCGTATTGCAAAGGACGGGTCGGGTATGGATAGCCAGGATGGAGCAAGTTCATGCTGGCTGGGCCTAGATCCATGAGGTTATTGTAGAAGCCCATATTAAAATGAGAGAGGTTGAGTCCAGGCAAAAGAGAACAAATAAGGCCCAGGCTAGAGGAGGTTATAACCGTCTATAAAAAAGGGAAATTGAGATGGAAAAGGTGTGAGAAATCATTGGGAGTGTAAAATTTCTCTCTCTGCAATTGGAGGAAATTCTTTGTACTTTCAATTTACACCGTCTGTGGGAAGAACAAGAAGGATTGATTGATGTTGTTCCAGAAGGACTCGATTCAAAGCACTCTGCGAGGAAGACGACTAATCTGCGAAAGCTGAATCAACATTGGCGAATAATACGATTTGTCTCGATGATTCCAGGCTCCGGTTGATTTCGAGAAGTTGGCGTTCGATCCATGCAGATCAGATCTGTGTTTGATTCGGTAAACTGTACAATTACGATCTGTTGTGATTACTGAATCCGGCCAGTAGCGGACTGAATTCAGCAAGTGTGAGTTCAGATCTGGTGTGTGCGCGTTAGCGGAACTCCGATCTGGTCAAGAAATCTGCAGTTGATGACTTTGCTCCGATTTGGAATGATGATCGGAGAGGCGAACTCAAATCCTTTGAAGAACGGCTAGCAGACGAAGCTCGATGAGCTGATGAATATGATCGACGCTTTGAGGAAAGAAAATGCAGAGCTACGAGCTAGAATGGAGCGTCGAGAGGCTCCTGCAATTCCGAGGCCACCTCCTGAAGGAGAGGGAGTCTTACCGTCCCAAGCTGATCCTTAAGGTGATCCAAAAGGTGTCAATTGTGTTGATCCACGTCGTGATGAAGTTATAATCGGCGATCTTCCTCAGAATGTCCATCGAGTAGAGGATCAAGAAGGATCTATTCATCTAGAACCACATCGTAAACGGATCATGAGGGAGGAAGCGCCGGCGTATGAACAAAGGGGTGCGTCACCGTGGCAAAGTGAGTTTGCGGAGGGCAGGTCGTTTGATCTACCTTATCGACCTTCAATAGCAACATTTGATTACCACAATTTAGAAAGGAGATCTGTCGATCGGGGGCTTCCATCATGGTTTTGAAGGGAAAACGAAGCATTGCGCTCATCAGTAAGGACGGTTGCATCTCCATTCACTGATGAAATTCTGAACGCGCCGAATCCGAAGAAGTTCTCCATGCCGGTTTTCATTCTGTTTGACAGAACAACCGATCCAGTTAATCATATCTACCACATTTAGTTGAAAATGGCTCTGAATACTAACAATGATCCTTTGATGTGCAAATGCTTCCTTACGAGCTTAGTTGGACCAGCTCTCAATTGGTTCAAGAATCTGGCTCAGGGCTCAATCGCTAGTTTCCAAGACTTATGCAATAAGTTCATAAGCTAGTACTACGGGAATAAACGTCTAGTTAAGGATGTATCAAGCCTTTTCACAATGAAGCAGCACGAGGATGAACTGCTCCAAACTTTTCTCACCCGGTTCAACCTCGTTAAAAGCATGGTAATGGAGTGTCATCCGTCCACAGCGGTCCAAGCATTTAAACTCGCAATGAACCGGTAGACGCCGTTCCACACCAGCTTGGTGGTTAATACGCCGAAGACCATGGACGAGCTGAACGAGAGAGCTGATGGTTTTGTTCGCCTTGAGGAGGAAGAGGCAGCTAATTCGAGAAAGACGTCAATTATTTCGACGGAAGAGAAGTCCATAGCCAAGATCTGGCAAAAACAAGCTTAGCCACAACGTCATACCTCATAGAAGGCAGAGAAAAGGCCCAGGGAGGAGGAATCAGTGACTCCACTCAGAGTCACCTTAGCAAGGCTATACCAAGAGAACAAAGATAAGTTTCGTCCTCCTTTACCAATCAGACAACCTCTTGAACAGAGGGATCAAACTAAACATTGTGCTTTCCATAGTGATTTTGGACATCAGACTAACGAATGCAGGAACCTAAGGAGGCAGGTAGAGAATGCTAATCGCAAAGGGGGAATTTGCAAGCTATGTTCAAGGTCCGGCGCAAGAGCAGAACCGCCCGGCTGAGCAGATCAAGCGGAACCAGAGGCCGAACCAACACAACTCTCAGCCTGTTTGGATTATAAATGTAATTTATGGCCGACCAGAACAAACGATGGAGTCAAAAGAGTTACTTAGAACGCGGTTACGCCAGGCCTAGTTGAAAAAAAGGATTGGCAGTGTGCATACTTTGCACCAGCAGAACGCATCCACACCGATAAAGTTCGACAGAACAGACCTACTACGCGTTTAAATTCCTCATGAAGATCCATTAGTCGTCAGTCTGACGGTTGCAGAATGCCTGGTTCGAAGAGTTTTGATTGATCCAGGAAGTAGTACGAATGTTATGCCCAGGGTGACGTTCGACCGACTTGAGATCGAACCCGAAAAACTCAAACCCACAGGAAATCCGTTGCTCGGATTTAATAGGAAGCGAGTGGATCCCATCGGAATGGTGGAATTGACAGTACAAGCTGCTGAGCGAGTTTTGACTGAGAGTTTTGTAGTCGTGGAAATTTATCCATCCTACAATCTCTTGATGGGCAGAGGGTGGATTCACAGAGTTCAGGGCGTCCCATCAACCTTGCATCAAGTGATGCGATGCTTGGGTCCAGATGGAACCAAAGTGATTGACATACATGGGGACCAGGTTGCAGCTAAAGAATGTTATTCAGTAACTTTGAAATCTGCTGGAAAAGGGAAAAATCCCATCCGTTCTGCTAGTCCAAAATAGCAATTACAGGAACCTCCTCCTAGTAGAGATGGGGAGGAGGAGCCACCAGTTCTGACCACAGAACCTCTTCATGAAGTGAAGATTGACCATAAGAAGCCGGACCGAACAATAAGGGTGGGATCCAGACTTGCTGAAGAGGAAAAACTAGAGTTGACTGATTTCTTGACTCGGAATGCAGATGTATTCCCATAGAGCCATTCAGATATGCCAGGGATAAATCCTTCTGTATCCTGCCATTTCTTCAATGTAGACTCGAATGCAAAGCCAGTGAAGCAGAAGTAGAGAAGATTTACTCCAGAACGAAATCAGATTATAGCAGAGGAGGTTGATCAGTTGCTTGAAGCAGGATTCATCAGAGAAGTTCAGTACCCGGCTTGGCTCTCCAATGTTGTTGTAGTGCAGAAAAAGAATAGGAAATGGAGAGTGTGTATTGACTTCACTAATCTGAACAAAGCTTACCTAAAGGATAGTTTCTCATTGCCAATGATTGATCAAATGGTGGATGCCACCACAGGATACGAGCGATTAACTTTCCTGGATGCTTATTCCGGTTATAATCAAATCCCCATGGATCCAGTTGACGAAGAGAAAACTTCTTTTGTTACTGAACGAGGGACTTATTGCTACAAAGTTATGCCGTTTGGATTAAAAACGCTGGAGCTACTTATCAGAGGATGATCAGCAAGATTTTTAAAGGCCAAATGGGAAGAACTGTCGAGGCTTATATTGATGATATAGTGGTCAAGAGTAAGAAGAAGAACGATCATTTAGTGCACCTGCAGGATGTGTTCGATGTGTTGCGCCAATATGGGATGAATCTTAATTCGGCCAAATGTTCATTCGGCGTAAGCTCCGGCCAATTTCTGGGATATGTGGTCAATCATAGAGGAATTGAAGCCAGCCCAGCGCAGGCAGAAGCCCTGATCAGAAATGCAGAGCCAAAGACAATTAAGGAGGTGCAATCACTTACAGGTCGAATAGCTGCGCTGAGTCGATTTATTTCCAAGCTCTCCGACCGCTGTAAACCTTTCTTTGATACAATTCGAGGGCACGGAAGACAAACCTGGGGGGATGAACAACGACATGCGCTAACCAGCCTAAAAGAATATATACACAACCCTCCGGTTCTATTTGCTCCCGAGCCGAATGAGAAGCTCTTTCTGTATCTTGGGGTATCCAGCATAGCGACTAGTGCCGTTCTGATCCGTTGCAAAGACAGAAAGCAATTCCCGGTGTTTTTTGTTAGCAAAACAATGTCTGAGCCGGAAAGAAGGTACTCAAGGGCCGAACGGATGATCTTGTCGCTAGTCAACGCAAAGAGGAAGCTTAGACATTGTGATACCCCTCGATTCTAGAGTCACGGGTGATCAAGTCCGAGCACAGAATACAAGGGATATCAAACAATTAATATTTAAACAAGCATTTGAATACAAAAAGAATAATAAAGACATAAATAAATAATAAGCTGAAGGAAACTAAATAATAAAACCCTATTTTAAAATCCTCAAATAAATAATAATTAAAAATCCAATAATAAAATCCTCCAATCCTTGGATACTAGTAATTAATTAAACTACAACTCGGGAATCCATACTGTGGACCCCTAATAATATCCTAACTGAAATAACTGAACTGAAATAAAAATAATAAGTAACTAATGAAGACGAGTCCTACATAGAGTCGGAAGAGTGAATGGCTGTCTCTACTCGGCACGAACAATCTCTAAGACTGGAACTGACGAACACCTGAAAAATAATGGTGGGTCAGGCCCACAAACAAGTTTTAATCTACCACATCCTAAACAGAGACCCGATACACGTACACATCATAATTAATTCAACAATAACTAAATAGTCCATATGTAGATATATACACACTAAATGAACCTCACTAGATTATAGAGTTGTCTCAACCTTAATAGTAGGCAACATGCAAAACGCACATATAGTGGGCATGAGTACCTAGACCTACCAGGGTACACAACTACGCTATATCTGGCTACACATCCTTGGCAATATACGCACTGTAACCACTGATCCTGAGACTTAAGCTTATATCATGGCGTATAATTATATATTTAAAATCCGTTCTATCTAACCATCAAAAATAAACTATCCAATTATTATTTTAATAATATGTCATCCAACTATTCCGTTGACCTGACACGAATAAGTAGGACTTAACACTATGGTTAATCCATTCCCTTATTAAAAAATAGGTAGGACTTAACTCTTAAGTTAATCCGTCCCTAATATGCCCCCATCCCATAATGGTGCATTAATTCATATCTTAATCAAATAAAAGTTTCAAATCCAATGACAATGTAAATAATATTTACATCTAATAATCCAAATAAATATGATGTAATCATATGTACATCACTTACATTTAATTGAGCAAAAATAACAATTCTAAGTATCATGCAATTAATTTACCTCATAAAAAAAAAATAACATGCATCTCAATTAATTGTACTCTCCCACAAACAAATTAAATTCATTTAAATTTAATTAACTGATTTAAATAATTTAACTCAACCCTATTTAATTAATTTAATCTTTTAAATTAAATTTTATATCAGTTACTATTTACAAACTTATGCAAATTAATCCAAACTGATATTAATCATATCAAGAAAAAAACAAAACGAAATTTCATTTAATATTAACTACTGATGCAGCCTTTAACTTTTGTTTTTTTTCTTCTTCATTCGGCGTGCCCATGTGTTCTCACACATACATTAAACTAATCCAAGTATTATTAACCATGTGAAGGGAAAAAAAAAAAAAAGTCTCAATTAATATAACAACTGATGCATGTTTATAAAAGTTCCTCGTTCGGCGTGCATGGAAGGAAAACACACAGAATTCGTACATGCATATAACTGATGCATGCTCATGCTAATTTGGTTCATAATAAGCTAAAAGAATTCCTCGTTACGCATATATGAAGTAAACAAACAGAAATTCTAATTACCATTAAATTACAATCTGTTTGTTTGTTTTTTTTTTTTTTTTAAATCAACTGTTAATGGTTTCCTCGTTCGGCGCGTGTGAACCAAATTTAATTCCATCTGAATTATATAAATTACTCCATACTAAAGCCATAATGTATTACAACATTATTAAAACCCAAACTGTAATACAACACATGAAAATTTAATTTATCAAAATATGAAAATTATCTCAAACCCATTATTAAAACACATGAACTGAATTTTTCAAATAAATCCATATAATTAGATTCAATTAATTTATTTAAAGAACCTAGAATTAATCTAGCATGCATAGGGTACAAATCAAAGGAGAAGAGAAGAATTAAAACTTGCTTTTAGGGATTTGATAAAAACCCTAGCCTCCTTCCTTTTCCTCTTCCTTCTTTCTCTCTAAAATATAGTACATGATATATTTTCTAACCTCTTTCACAACTCTATAGTTATATATTTATAGGCAACTAAAATAACCCTAATCCTTTTTCCATTCCAAGACAAACTAAAATAAAATAAAAATAAAATAAAATAAAATTTAAATACTAAAAAGGTAACTTAAATATATGTTACGTATAATCTATGTGTACTCCTTTTTATATATAATATATAAATATATATCAGATTATTATTTAAGGACTTTCCTTATATATATATATTTATTTATTTATTAAATATATATATACATGGGTGATTATCCGTACCCATTAAACCCCTTATCCAAGTAGTCCATGGAGCCCAATTGATTGGTCAATTACTACTATCCATATCCAATTCCTTAAAAATATAAAAATAAAATAAATAAAATAAAAATAAAAATAAAACAATTAAATTCCTAAATAAATACACATCATCACATACAATTCAATTTAAACAAATAATTAAATCAATTAAACAAGTAAACAATTAGCCAAGAAAATAACTAAATAATTAAATGCAATTAAAACTATTAAAATAATACTGAGACTATCCTTTTTAAATTAGGGGTATTACAGACATTATTTCGAATCTCACCCAATCGTCGTATTAACAACTTTCCCTTTAAGAATGATCTTGCACAAACCGGACCTATCGGGGAGAATGACCAAATGGGCCATTGAATTGAGTTCATTTGATATTGCGTACGAGCCCAGAACGGCAATAAAAGGTCAAGCGGTGGCAGATTTCCTACTTGAATGTGATGTTGAAGATTTGGTGGAGGATTATAATTGTTCCTTGTGGAAGCTCTTTGTGGATGGCTCTTCGAATCAAATGGGGGCAGGGATTGGAATCCAATTGCGAACACCAGAAGGCACCATGCTGAGCCAAGCGATAAGACTTGAGTTCAACGCAACCAACAATGAGGCAGAATACGAGGCGTTGATAGTTGGGCTGAAATTGGCTAAAGAGCTGAAGATAAAGAATCTGATTGCTTATAGTGATTCACAACTAATCATTTGGCAAATCACTGGGGAATATGGGACCAAGGATAAGACCATGAAAGCATACCGAACTGTGGTTCTGCGTGAGGCGAAGGGCTTTGATCAGATTAGGTTCATCCAATTACCGAGGGAGTATAACGAAGATGCCGACCACTAGGTTTGCAGTGCGTCCAGTTCTGGAGAAACTTTGGCTAGGGTCATCCTGGTGGATGTGCTGGTCCAACCTTCCATTTTTGATGAGCTACCTAATCCGAGCGCTCAACACGTTAATGTTATACCATATGAGCCGAGCTGGATTGATTTGATCATGGCTTTCATACGTAATGGTGTACTCCCCGAGGAGAAGGACGAGGCAAGAAAAATCAGGTCCAACGCTGCAAAGTATGCCTTTGTGCGTGATCAGTTGTATAGACGCTCCTTCTCGGGTTCATATTTGAAGTGTGCTACCCTAACAGAGGCTAGATAGATTATGCGAACCATTTATGAGGGAGTATGCGGAAATCATTCAGAAGGAAGGTCTTTAGCACGCAAAACAATGGCACAAGGGTACTTTTGGCCAAACATGGCACGAGATGCAGAAGAATTCTCTAGAAGATGTGATAAATGCCAGAGGTTCGGGCCATTGATACACCAACCACCTGAAGACCTACACGTAATGGCCACCCCATGGCCTTTCGCACAGTGGGGGATGGATGTGGTTGGCCCTTTGCTGATCGCAAGATCGCAAAATAAGTACGTTCTGTTAGCAACTGATTACTTCACCAAATGGGTAGAAGCAGAGCCGTACCCCAGTGTCACCCAAACTCAAGTAAGACGCTTCATCTGGAATAATATTATCTATCGTTTTGGCGTGCCAAGGTCAATCATAATGGACAATGGGACCAACCTCGATAGCAAGCAAGTGAGAGAGTTGCTGGAAGAATATGGAATCAACCAGAAGTTAACAGCAGTCAGTCATCCCCAGGCTAATGGCCAAGCCAAAATCACAAACAGGATAATATTTGCCTGCATTAAGAAAAAGTTGGAAAATGAAAAAGGAAAATGGCTAGATGAGCTTCCGAACGTCTTGTGGGCTTACAGAACGACCCCAAGACGGCCGATCGAAAAAAGCCCATTCGCTATGGCATACGGCACCGAGGCGGTGATACCAGTCGAGCACTTGGTTCCAACTGTAAGAAACTTGGCGTGGGATGAAGAGCAGAATGATAGAATGCTAAGGTTTAATCTCGACTAGCTGGAGGAAAAAAGGGATGCGGCTGCAGTAAGGCTTG